TCATGGATCGAAATATAATAATTTTCTTGGAATTTTATCACGGTAAATAAAACAAAAAAAATGTTTTTCTCGTTTAAATTTTTCTATTAATTTTTAGTGGTTTACTTATGCCAAAAATGGTTGTTAATGATTTAGGAATCACACGTACTGATATTGGATGTTTAGGATATGGTGTTTATTTTTCCGATTCAGTTTCAACATCTTTAAAATATACAACATCAAGTGTAGCACGGCCTGGTCGACGATTGCTATGTATATCTCAAGTAGCATTAGGTGATTCAGCAAAATTTTATTCCTATGCACCAAATTTAATTGAACCACCAGAAAATTTTCATAGTACACATGGAGTAAAAAATAATACTGAAAATAATTCAAGATTTATTGTAAGAATAGATTTTTTTAATCTAATTTCATATTTATATATTTATTTAGGATGATGAATATGTTGTTTATAATCTTGATCAACAAAAATTATTATATATTGTTGAAGTATCATGGAAACCCCATGATAGTATTAATGAAACATTAAGTCTATTACCTATAGTTCGTGATTATTTAACAAATCAATCAAACATATCGAAAAATGAAAGTAAGTCGTTTTTTTACAATGAATGTTAGATTAGATATCTTGTTCTTTCAGTAGATATTCCTACAACAATTGAAGATGAAGTAATTGAAGTAGCTGAACAAGATTATGGTTTAATATGTCCATCATCAGGTCAACTTGTTCCACTTAAAGCTTTTCATATTCGTGCACAACTTGTTGATGTAACTGCTGAAGTTAGTAAAAAATAATTTCTTATAGTTATTTTATTTTATCTAAATAAATCTTTAGGTTGTTCTTTATCAAGTATATCATAATACAAGTACAGTTCCAATTGAAGCTAAATATGTATTTCCACTTGATGAAAATTGTTCTGTTTGTGGTTTTGAAGCACATATCAATAACAAAATAATTAAAGGAGTTGTTAAAGAAAAAGAACAAGCTAAACGTGAATATCGTGAAGCTATTGAAAAAGGTCATGGTGCATATTTAATGCATCAAGAACAACCGGAAGTATTTAGTGTATCTGTTGGTAATTTACCAGCTAATTGTGAAGTTATTATTAAAATAACCTATGTTGCTGAATTACCCATTGAAAATAATGATATTATATTTCGTTTACCAGCTAAAGTAGCATCATGGCAATCAAAACAAGCATTGGATATGAAAGATCAAACAATACTTCCATCAATTAATCTTGAACAAGATAATTCGTCAATGAAAACAGTTGCATTTAGTCTTAAAGCATCTATACGTATGCCATATGAGATAATGAAATTATTTTCTCCAACACATCGTCTTCGACGAAAAATAACTGATTGTATTGCAATGATTGAACTTGTTGATAATATATTATTTGAAAAAGATTTTATTCTTTCTATAACATTAAAAAGTATTAATTTACCACGAATGTTAAATGAAACATATGTTTTATCCGACGAAAATAATAATACAGAAATAAATGATGAAAATTCACAAGCATGTATGTTAATATTTTATCCAAAATTTGAAATGATCAGTAATATGAATGAATATATTGAAATTGTTTTTCTTATTGATGTATCAAATTCAATGGATGGAAATCATGTACAACAAGCAAAACAATTAGCACATTTATTTTTAACAAATATGAAGAATACTAATGGAAATATTTATTTTAATATTGTTACATTTGGATCAGGTTAGATATTTTGATAATTTAAGATTTTATTTATTAACATTTATTTTAGATAATGATGAATGTTTTCCTATTTCATCACTAAATACAAATGAAAATATTGATAAAGCTAAACATTTTATTTTGGTTTGTATTATTTTGTTTTGTTTTTTTATTTATATATTATTTAATTTCTATAATAGCATTCACTTGATCATCGAGGAAATACTGATCTTTTTTCTGTTCTTCGTCAATATTCACTTTTACCATCACCATCTAAACTTGGTCGACAATTTATTCTTTTATCTGATGGACATATTAATGACCTTCAATCAATTTTACAACTATTTAAAACTCAATCATCTATGATTCATGATCGTTTATTTACATGTTCAATTGGTGATACATCGAATAAACATAATTTAAAGCAATTAGCTAATGGAACACATGGTGGTGGTTTAACAACTGTATTTGATTCAAATTATCGTTCAAGATGGAAAACAAAAGTACTTCTTATACTTGAACATATTCGTCAACCATGTGTAAATAATATATCAATTGATTGGCATGGAAATATTGATAATCAACAAGAAAAATTTACAAATCAAGCACCAAAAATGATTCGATCATTATTTAATGGTATGCGTTTAACTGTCTATCGTTTTATACAAAATTGTCATAAAGCAACATTAACAGCAATGATAAATAATCAAGAATTTAATACAACTGTATTTAGTAATAAAATAACTGAAACAAAAGGACGAATCTTACATTGTTTAACAGCTCGTGCGATTATTCATGATTATGAAAATGGTTTATTACATATTGATGAAAGTGAAAATGAACTTATTAAAAAACAATATAAACAAGATTTAATTGAACTTAGTATGAAATACTCTGTTGTAAGTTCATTTACAAGTTTTGTAGCAATTGAAGAACGTGATGGAGAAGCACTTGAACCAGGTTAATATATATATTTATCTAAAATAAAATTTCGTTTGTAACTGTATTTTTCTTTTCTTTAAAATAAGGTGTTCGATTACTTGATGTTATGCTTGAAAATGATATTGATTTACTTCCATATGTTGGTTGGGATGGTGATCGTTCACAAATTGATTTAATGAAAGAAAAATTATTGAATGCAAAACGTTTATTTGATAGTGCTTCAGTATCAAATAAAATTGATTTATCAGAAGAATATGAAAACTTTTGTCAGAATATATCTTATCGATCAGGTGGTGATGCAAAATATGATTTAATGTTAACAATTATTGATACATATAGAATAACATTAAAAGAAAACGAAAAAGCTCAAGAACTTGAAAATAAAATGCAATTAGGTAAAAGTCAATTATTTTAAAAATAATCTGTTTTCTTATATTAAATAAATATAAGTAGATTTATTAAATGAAATCAATAATGCAACAGCTGATGAAAGAAAAATATTAGAAAAACGATTAGATGAAATCAATATACGCATCGAATCGGAAAAATCGTAAGTTAACAATATAAAAAGAAATATAGTTTAATAAATTTGTTTTATTAGACAAAATTTAGAAAATCAAAGTACAACTTCTGAAGAAACTACTGATGATGAATCTTTTTGTGTAAGTTGTTGTCAAAGAAAAAATAAAAGACTATTTAATACAATTGTATATTATTTTTCTTTTTACGAAGGTAATGGACATGTTTGATAGTAATGTTAAAAAGACAGGTAAATTAACTTGTATAAACATGATATTCCGAAATTGTTTTTGACTTGTGTTTCTTTTTAAGCTAAAGTGCTTCTACCAACTGATAGCGATAGTTCATCAGATTCTGATAATGACATGGGTTGTGGTCTATTTGGTGATTATGAGGAGACAATGCCTTCCATAGCATGTGCAACATCATTAAAGCGCACTAGAGCTATGCCAGTAACGATTAAAACATGGATAGATGCGGACGAAGAAGAAGACGGCGACGATATGTGCGGTTTTGATTTGTTTGGTGAGGGTGGTGGCGGTGGAGGATTTTCATCATCATCTAAATCTACCTCAAAGCAAAACAAATCATTCGGTCTACGTGAGATAGCACCTTCAAAATCAGCAGTTAAAGAAAAAAAATCTTGGGCTGAAGTAGTAGAAGATGAAGAGGAGTGTGATATGGGTTTTGCGTTGTTTGGTGATGAAGACTTCGCGCCACCTCAGACAATAAACTACGAAACAAAAGAAAAATCAGCTAATAAAGCTGAAGAAAGTGAAGAAGAAATAATATTACGTGCAAGACCGAAAACATCTATTCCGATACTTAGAAAACGTTTGGACCAAACGAGTGATATCATTTCTCAAATTGAATGTAACATCGCATCCGCAACAGGTAATGGTTTTTAAAAAGATTTAAAATCCACATAAAATAACTGAATGTTTTTTTTTCATATTAAGAACAATCGAAAAGCGCTTTTACAACATCCCCAAGCTATATGCCAACATCTGTAAACGAAGCAGAAGAAAAATTACAAAAAAAATCTTTCAAAATTTCGAAAGTCTTTGATGGTGCTCTACAGAAACAGAAAAAAACTGGCTTTCTTACAGAGAGCAGTAAAGATAAGCATCGTCAGCAACTAGTGTTTCCACCACAGCAACAGCAACTACAGCCACAGCAGCAGCAACAACAACAACAACAGCAACAGCTTCGAATTTCTTCACCTACACCTCCTACAACATCAGACTTGTTTAGTTTGACAACAGACAGTTTTGCGTTGGCTTCTGATGCATATAGCTCTATACGATGTGATCATCCGTCATCAGTTATATCAGATTCGTTCGAACACAATAGCAACAATAACACAAATGATTCTCTAACACTTGATGGTTTTTATGCCCCGTCTAACTTTTTACTTAATGCACCTCCGCCATCGCTGCCTAATGCGTCTTCATATTTGTGGCAGCCTAATGCACCTCCACCTCCACTTCCGCCTCCTGGTGCAGCGTCACAATTATTTGGAAACAGCACGAGCAACACTACAACTTCTTTTGGAGCTTCACCATATATTAGTTCAGCAATGTTCTCTAGTACTGCTCCACCACCACCACAGCTACCATCTTTTCTATCGCCAACTCCAGCATTATTTGGAAGCAGCACGAGCAGCACTACAATTTCTTTTGGAGCTTCACCATTTGGTGGTCCTCCACCGCCAGCACCT